TGCATAGCATATTTCCAAAGACAGTTCTATCACAGTGTAAATTATACATTTCCCTTCAATAAACTTAGTGTATTAGTTAGGGTAGGCTAACTGCAATAAACAACCTCAAATCTCTGTGACTGAAAGAAATGGTAATTTGTGTCATGCTTGGGCATAATCTAAACTGGGATGGTAGAGACGTAAAGAAGAGATTTTTCTTCAATTTTATGATTCTTTTATCTTCCAGGGCCTTGTCCCCTTCTACTATCGTTAATGAATGGGAAAATGAGAGAGCAAGGAGAATTACATGTAATTTTTGTTTGTTTTTGGTCAGGTCCAAAATAGCGTACCTCACTCATGCCCACAATCTGCTGGCCAGAATCTGCCCAGAGAGCCCCATGCAGTCTAGCTGTGTGCTTAGAAGAAGAAAATAGGATTCAGTGAATACTTAGTTTCTACCATACTTAAGTTACCATCAGCCTCCTCTAGCATGAACGATGCTATTAGGATTGGCATCCCTCATCCATATATATATATATATATCGTGCCTCTGGGGTCCTTCCCACAACAGGGTCACAAAAATTTTATTCTCGACAGTTTCTCTCTTTTTATGCTAGTGCTTTATTACTATGGCTTTATATCATACTATTAGGATTAGCAATTCAAATGATAACCACTTCCAGAAACAAAGATAAATAGACAACACATAAAATTAATCATTGCAAGATACGAAAGAATTTGTAAGGATTAGTATTGGTGAAGGGAATGGGAAGAAACAAATCTGAGTAGAGAAAGTAAATGAACTGAAATGCAGGTTGACAAAGCTTTAATCAATAGAGTTAAGCATTCAAGTATTTAACCATCAAAGTGTCTTGCACTGGGCTGAAATGACCAGACATGGCTTCAGTCACCATATTCTGGCAGCCCAAGAAGTATGAGATCTTCTGTTACTGGATTTTGAGGCATTAGTCTCTCCTTCTAGAAGTGATTTCTAGTTTTGTTTTGTTTTGTTTTGTTTTTTGTACCAAAGAACTGAATGAAACCAGCATGAACAAGGCAAAGTTTCACATTTATTAGCCACTTAGCAGTTTACCCCAATGTCACCCTGTTGTTTTTTTTTTAAACAAAACAATAACAACAAAATAAAAACAATGATACAGAATTTCAAAACAAAATAACAGAAGATTAAACTGGGTGTGGTGGTGCACTGCTGTAATCCTAGCACTCTGGAGGCTGATGCAGGCGGATTTGGGGGGCTACAAAGTGAGCCCAAGGCCTGTCTGAACTGCCTGGTGAGACCTGGTTTCAAAAAGACAAAAAAAAAAAAAAGATTATTACTCAGCACTTTTATTTATATACTGACTATCTTGAGCATCACTGTGGCAGATATCATTTTGACCACTTAATTCTTGCACTGAGTAAATTTGACACAATTGTTATTTTTATATATTCTGTTACATTATAAAAATTAATGACAAAATATGTAATTATTATCTTATACTTAAATAATTAGACAGGTAAGTGGCTAGGCAGGAAATAAAACAGGGTAGGGGAAAAAGTGGGTTCTGCGGGGTATGATTGGGCCAAGTAAAAGAAAAAGGGAAGAAAAAATTAAAAATACACCCTGTAGCGTAGAATGTGCTACCTTGAAGAGAACCATAGCAAACAACTGTCCACCTTTCATACTCTTCATGCCAGTATCTAGTCCAGGTCACCCTATCAAAAACCTGCTCACATTTTGGTGAGAAATGTACATGCAGGCAGTGTACTGTAATCCCAGCACTTGGGAGACTGAAGCAGGAGGATTGCTGTGAGTTTGATGCCAGGCTGGGCCAGCAAGTTCAAAACTAGCCTTAACTACATAGCCACTCAAAACAATAATAAAAAACCCCAAACCATGTGGATACAGAGAGAGAGAGAGAGAGAGAGAGAGAGAGAGAGAGAGAGAGAGAGAGTAAATAAAAGCAGGTGTGGTAAAATACTAAAACTTGGAAACTCTAAATAAGGGTGATGAGTTCTTGAAGCTTTTCTATCACCTTAAATTGTTACAAAATAAACATGAAATATTCATATTAACTTAAAAAAGAAACCCAAAAACATATGTCTAGAACTTGGCATGTCTGTCATCCCAGCATCCTGGCAGCAGAGGCAGGACAAGGCTGAGAGTTTGAGGTAAGCCTGGGTTGCACAGACAGTTCAACGCCACCCTGAACTACATAGCGAGACCTTGTTTCAGAAAACAAAAACAAAACAAAACAAAGAAACCAAAAACGTATGACTACACAAAACTTTGCACATATATGTTCATAAAACCATTATCCATAACAGCCAAAAAGTGAAAATAATAAAAACAGCCATCAACTCAAATGGATGAACAACATACACACCCAAGCAATGAAATACTATTTGGCAATAAAAAAACAAATACTGACACATGCTATAACACAGAGGAACCTTGTTTTTGAGAAACACTGGTATATAGACAAAACTTAGATTAGTTGTTTCTAGGGAAGGATATGCAACTAATAAGGAAAAGGAGCTTCTTTTTTGGGCCGATGAAAATGTTCTAAAATTGATTGTGATAATGGCTGCACAATTCTGAATATACTAGAAGCCACTGAGAGCTGGGCATAGTGGCACACCTGTAATCCCAGTCCTTGGAAGGCTAAGTTATTGAGAGACAGCCTGGGCTACATAGTGAGTGCAAGACCAGCCTGAACTACATGGTAAGACTCTCTCTTAAAAAAAAGAAAAAAAGAAGAAGAAAAACCCCAAAATAGGCTTTTGTGAGGAGTCAACTATACCTTGCTTCCCAACTGAAAATAAATGAAGCAGAAATAGACACTCCAAGTGAAACAGTAAAAATAACATGAAGTTGGGAATTGGGATGTTGTCATCTTGCTTTTCCTACCTAGCAATCATGCAACTTTGGTCAAATTACCTTATTTGTCTTGGCTTCCAATTCCATACCTCAAATGAATTGATACTTCAATTTAGAATTCATCTCTGAAGCTTTTAGAATTTTCTGAATCTATGTCTGAGATTCTTTAAAATACATTTTTTTGAGAAATATTACACTTGCTTTGTTTTAAAACAAATGATGTGGGATGGTTGTAAAACACATTTGTTACTAATTCATTTTAGAATTGTACTCAGTTTGGCCAGGTGAGGTGACCTGTGACCTCAATACTTGGGAGCCTGAGGCAGAAGTCCTGCAAATTTTAGGCCAGCTCAGGTGACAAAGTGAGTTCAAGTCCAACCTGAACTGTATAGTGAAACATGTTTCAAAAAAAAAAAAGAAAGAAAGAAAGAAAAGAAAAGAAAATTATACCGTTTATTTATACCAAGCTTTATGAAAGAAACTTGCTTAAAGAAGACTCAACCCACCACCTAGCGGTGAAGAGAGGGAGTGATACAAAATGTTTTTTAATCTCATTCTTCTTTCCCCGCCCCCTTGCCATTCAGAACCTTATTAAGTACACAGAAACTTCCTGACCCAACAGCTTGTTCATTTGACAATGGTAATTCGTAAACTATTGAAAAACTTAAATTTTGAGAGCTGTGTAAGGAGCATTGTTTTTTTCGGGAAGGGAGCAGAGATGCCTTCTATCCATACATTTCAAAGCTCTCTAATCCAAGAAGTCCACCCTATCTATCTCTTAAGTATATAGACGCCATTCTGCAAGTGCTGGTTCAAAGAATCTCCAGGACCACTACCTTTTAAAAGACGTTAACCAATAAATACATCAATAGCATCCTTGGTGTCATTTAATGACTTTTCTTAATGCAACAGTAAGTAAGACTAAGTCTACAAATTTAATCTATAAGCAGGAATACACGGCCCTTAAACCCAAAGAGGGATTTGATCCCAAAGAGGCAGGGAGACGCCGGAATCATCAGTCCTATGGTATTGTAGTACTAATTTACAGTGTACAGGGATCCCTTTTCCTTTTCTAGTTTTTCCTCCTACCTTTTCACTTTTTCCCTTTAGTTCAACTATTTTTCGTCTTTCTCGTCCAAATAAGTAATTAAGATTAGCATATTTTGTGTTATTTATTTTTTTTTAGACTAGTATATTTTAATGGAACAAGTGGTGCAATGCTCAGGATGATTTAATTATTCTAGTAAACACTTGGAAATTTTCTTATTGAAAATATTTTCTTATTGAAAATATTTCTGAGTCTGAAATTAGGGCATTTAGTATCTAAGAACTCTGGAGTCTTCTTTTGAAATCCACTTTAACTTTACAGAAATTTCTGGAACTTCTTGTTTTAGCTTCTGTCAGCTTTGCTAGTGGAAACCCAGTTTTGTTGTTCTTTTCAGTTAAAACGCTTGATTTCAAATTTTTCTTGGTTTACGAATATTGACCAAGTCTTCCAATGCCAAGTATTATCCATTTCATCTTTGAAAATCTTAGGGATTAGAGCCTCCACGGGAATCTTATTTCTGCTGCTTAAACGGGCTCCTGGGAGGAGCAGTTTCGACCGCCAAATTCAGAGAAGCTGCTGTACGGAACCTGCAACAGTTGGTGTCAGGCAGGTTGAAAGTAATAAATCGGGCAGGTCTAAACACAAAAAAACTCTGAGAAAGGCCGGGGGAAAAGTAGCCTTTGCAGGAGAACGCCAGAGTCGCTCACCGCCGAATTCGGCCGTGGGAAGGCGCCGTCTGTGACAGGGAGGAGGGCGCGAGGAGGCGGAGACGCGGCCAAACCCCGGGGACTCAGCAGCCGGGTGGCCGGCGGCGTGGGGCGGGGCGAGCGGAAGCAAGCCGCCCAGGGGCCGTGGCGAGGTGAGGCCCGCCCAGCCCGCGGCGGGAGGTGCGACGCCCAGGCCGCGGGTGCGTGCGCGGCCCCGGGCGACGCGGTTGGGCGTGCGCGGGGCCGCGGCGGAGGCAGGGCCGGCCGGGCGGCAGAAGATGGCGAGGGTGTGTAGGCGGCAGCAATGCTCAGTTGAGAGACGCGGCTTTCGGCAAGAACTGGACTCGTGGCGCCACAAGCTCATTCACTGTGTAGGTGAGACCCTTTTCTGGTTGCTGCCGGCCCTCAGGTCGTCTTGCTGCTGATCGCCCCGGGCGAGCGAGGGACTGAACAGGGTCCGAGGCAGCGCTGCTCCGGCCCTCTCGCCCGCCCTCTGGGGCTCGGGCGCCCCTCCCCCACCTTGCCGCGAGCGCGCGCCCCGCGGCCCCTCCCCTCACGCCTCCGGGGGCGGGCTCTGGACGCGCGCCTCCCCGCCCCCTCCTCGCGTTGTGCTTTCGCGGCCGCTGGTTTATTGTGAGGACAGCCCGGGCAGCTGCTGCGCCGGGTGGCGCGAGGCCGGGGCGCGCGGGGCCACCTTCCCCGCGCCCCTCCCCCACGCGCGGAGGCGCGCCCTGTCCCCTCGGGCACGCGCGGCGGGCGCCCGGCCCTCGGCGTGTGCGAGGCGTGAGGTGGAGATGGGGGCGGAGGGAGCCGGAGCTGTCACAGGCCCCGGGTCCGCCTGACTGAACCAAGTGGGGTGTCATGGCCGCGGGGGGCGGCGGCGGCGGCGGCGGCGGCGGCCGGGGAGTTCATCCTCGACGCACGGGTCGGTGTGTGCGTATTTGTGTTCGGTGTGTGCGCGGCAGGGAGGAGGGGTCGCTCTTGTTCCTGCCCGGGTTGGCCGGAGTCGCCACTGCCTCGCGGAGTGTGCCTCGTCCGCCCTTGCTCGGGTGGCGTTTCCCCGCTGGTCGGAGGGAGCGTGGACGGGGGCACCCCGGGAGGGGCCGGGCAGCCGAAGCCGCGCCTCTCACACTGTGTGTTCTGTTTGTTTTTCTCTCCCAAGGTCCCGTTTCTCTCTGTGCGGCGGCCGGCGGGACCATAAGGGCTTAACTCATATATTTAATCCCCCTCCGAAAAGTAAGTGGTCGGTATGGTGTCTCCGCTCCACCCGCCGCCCTCAGCCCACCCTTGTGTCTGACTTCTGTCCTCAGCATTGTGTTTTTCCCATCTTTGCGTCGGTGCTGCTGCTGATTTGTGGGGAAATGCCCTCTCGTCGTCTTCTGTCCCCCACGCCCAGTCCTCCGGGAGACCCAGAATGGCTGCCCCCACCTCCACCCTGTGGGGAGTGTTCTTGCGAATCAGGTCTTCCCCAGCAGAATCCGGGAGGTTCTAACCGTTCGCTTGGGCCCCCTCATCCCATCCTTCCCGACGGGGTTTCGTTGGAAGGAATTATGCAAATCCTGCTTTCTGGTGTCCATTCAGCGGCAATTTCATGCGGTGAGAAGTTCTCTTTGTTGTGCGAGGGGGAGAACAGACACTGATTTAATAGACATATCTGTTGGGGGGGTGGCGAGGGGGTGTGGAGAGGCTCAGTTTGGAAGAATTACAGCGCTTGGTTAGCTCAGTCTTTGTGTTTGAGCCTTGTGGCTTGACAGGAGGTTCTGCCCCTTTACAATGTCCCACAAGGGATGTTTTCTATAACAGATGAAAAAACAAAACTGAAACTTTAAATGAGTGAAAAATAAGGTAACCTTTAGTTAGAAAATACAAGCTTTCCTATTTCTGCAGTGCTTTCAGTACGAAACTGTTTAATGTGAATTTTTTTGAGGGCTACAGTAAATACAACAATACTGTATGATAACTGTACCACTTTGATTGTCCAAAGGTTAAAAGTACATTTAAAAATCTGTCCTTGTAGAAATAATAAAGGCACGAATAGTTTATGTATTTGGGGGGGGAGGGAGGGAGATTGAATATGGTTTTCTTGCCAATGTAAAATTCCTTTCCTACCAGTCCGAGTCCAGGAAACAGCATTTTAGCTATCAGCTATCATTTGCGCTCTCTGCTTGTTTTGTTCTTTCAAGTCTATTACACATTTGCTAAAATGTTACATTGATGTAAGCACTTCTGCCTTATGTGTTATTTGTACCATCGTGTAGGAGAATACATACAGATCGGAAGTTTTAAGAAACAAAATTAATGCAGAATTGCATACTATTGTAAAATGTTGAAATTATTTTGAAGAGTATTTAGTTCTTGTGTTTGTTTCACTTTTCTTAGTGATTGGATTTGTTAAACACGGCTTTTTATTTTTTAAAAGAAATTGAGGACTATAACCCAGTAGTTTTAAGTTAATGTTGCTTTTAGATGGCTTTAATGAGTTACCTTATTTTAATTGTTTGCTTTAAATTTTTGTCTTCTGTCTCAGACTTGCTTTTTTAAGTCAGTCGTTGCAAGTATTAATAGTTACTTACTGCTGCTTGATAGTGTGTTTTATGATTAATAAAATCCTGTGTACATATCTCAGTTGTCAAAATTAGATTCATTTTTTGAAGTATTTTAATCTGGTGATCGTTTTTCTTAGAGTATACTTAAACTCCAAATTGCTCCCTTCCTGGTAAAGCTCAGGAGGTTTTAGAGTCCAAAGTTCAGAGTGATATTTTAATCTGAGGAGTAATATATATTGATAGTCTCCCAACTAAAATCAATTTGGTCTCATATTTTGTATTTTATTATATGTAATTTTGTTCCAGAAGAGGAAAGTTCTAAGCCAACTAGTTGAGGTGTTAAGTTTATGTTTAAAAAGGGCTGGGTGGCAGTGATCCTTAATACAGTCCCCAAACCAGCTGTGTTGTCTACTGCCAAATGTAATATTCATCTTTTTTTAATGAAATTGGCTCTGAACAGTTAAACTGTTTGATTCTCCTGTTTGATTATCTTAATACTTTAGGGTTATTTGGTTTCTAAATGATTTAATAGCAGTATTGGATTAAAAATTAATTTTCAGTTATTTCTCAAATCTAATTTTCCCTTCTACTTTTCTGGGAGACAGAGGAGGGCAGTGATTTCATGACTAAGTTTAGCTGACTTGGACTTATTTCAGCTTGTTTGCCTTATCTGAAGTTTTTGGGATCAGAAGACCTTTGGATCTTGGAGTTTTACAGATTTTAGAATATTTACATAGATTTTATTGGTGAGTAACCCTCATTCAAAAATCTGACATCTGAAATGATCCAAATGGCCCAAAATGCTCCATTCCAAACCTTTTTGAGCATTTTGGATTAGAAATACCCACCAAATAAAAGGGTTCAGATAGTGATTATGATAAAGATGAATATTTGGTTACCAGGTAATGATTGAAGGATCCCCTGGAACTAATATGTTTTGTGCAGATTCCAGGAATATCTAGTTTCTCTCTTGTTCCGGATATGATGTTATGTACTGCTTGACTGATTGTCACCCTTATTGTATTCTGGAGTGTGGAGAAGGTTGTGATTTTAGGATAGCTGTAGCTTGACAGAATAGAAGTTAACAGGATGGGCCAAGTGTTTAGCTCAGCTCACCTGCCTGGCAAGTGCAAGGTTGTGAGTTCCATCCCTGGTACAAAAAAATCAACCCAAAACCAAAAAACCCCAGAAAACAAAAACAAGTCAACAGGATGAATCTCTGACTTATAGAAAGATAGTTTAGTTTACTCTGATTCTGTCAAATGTTCCTGTAGCTGGAGCAATTCTAGGAAGCGTTTTGACTTCAGTGCTAGTTTTTAAGCTTTAATGGGCCTGCACAGGATGATTTATTTTACCTGGGTAAATTGATGGCTGTAGGAACTTTACACTTTTGAGTACCTAATTATGTAGCTGCTTGAATTACGGCTGCTTTTTAGGAATGAAAGGATGGTAGGTCAGTGTTTAGTTCATTTAAATATTTATTAAGCATCTGCCTTGTACCTGGCGAATAGTAAGTGAAGTTCGGAGAAATTGCCTTAACTTTCAGGAACCTTTAGTCCTAGAGAAAAATAGACATCCAGTTATTGTACAAGATCCAAATTGGCATTTGGTAGTACAACCAAATATGAGCATGTTTAGAAGTGAAAAAAAAAAACCCTTTTGAAATAAAAAAGGCAGGGTTCATGAAGAAGGTGACAGATTGTGTTCTTCATTTTGATAATTACGGAAAAAGCTTTCCACTCATGAGAAATAGCAAAAGCAAAAGTGGAAATATACCTCTATTTAGATTACAATCTATAATGTAGGTGATAGAGATCTGTAAAGGTAGGTTTGTAGAATTTTCTAATGCAAGTTAAAAAAAATTGAGACTTTTAAAAAAATTCATTTATTATTTTTTGAGAATTAATGTCATTTAGGTTGACCTTGAATTGAGTCTGGAGCTTAGATTGGCCTCTAATTTGGCAGCCATCCTCTTGCCTCAGCCTCTCCAGTATTGTGCCAGGATTACAGGATGCAGCACTACACCCAGAAATTGGAGACTTTCTGTTAGGCAACTTGCAGTTGGCAACACTTTGCTGTCTTTAGCTCAGAAGAGTGTTTCTTTGAGGAGTCACTTGTGAAACTTTACAACAGTGACAAACCACACTTGATAGGGGCAATATTACCATCTACAGCAACACACTCTAAATCAAGCATGCTTTATGCTACTACACAAAATTTATTTTCAAGATTGAATAAAATCATTGACAAACTTTCTTTCAGTACTGTTAATGTGGACAAATTTTCATCGTTACGAGTTGGATTGGGTATAAATAAGATTAGTTTTCTTCCCTGGCTTGCAAACTGGCTGTGAACATTGAGAAAGGGCCTTGATTTGTTTTGGTGTACCTCTGAACCTCTCTTTCTTGTCTTCCCATCTGCTGTGTGGCATCTGAATTTGTGATACTGGGTAGATGTGAATAAACAAATCTGTTATTGTTTATAGTTTCAAGTTGAAAATTTAACATTGTTATTATACAAATTAGCTCTTAATCTGCCTGCAAGTATTTTAAACTTTTTATTATTCCACTTGGTACATTGCTTTGGGGATGATTTCATGCTAATCTCTTAGCTCATTTTATAGACCATCTCTTGCATTCAGGGAGTGTCTTAAGTACAGTAATCTATATCCTTTTTTTAAATTGATCTATAATTCACATGCTATAAAAATTCCTTTTTGGGGGGATGCTGTTTAGGATAATTCACTTTTTTTTTGGGTACTGGGGCTCAAACTCAAGACCTTGCACTTAACCCTGCAGGCACTTCAATTGCTGAGCTAAACCCCCATCCCTAATTCACCTTTCTATAAAATGTACAATTCAGTGATTTTTAATTTGCTCACAAAATTGTGCATATGTCACTACTAATTCCAGACCATTTTTATTAACCAGAAAAGAGAAACCCTGTATTTAGACTCCTACTGTTTAGTTCTTGGTATTCACTGATCTGCTTCCTGTGGATTTGTCTAGTCTGGATATTTCTTATAAATTAATGAAATAGTATGTGGTCTTTTTGGTCTGGGTTCTTTCACTTAGCATAGACTTTTTAAGATTTATCCAAATTTGAATATTTATTAGCACTTTATTCTGTGGCTAATGCTGAATTGTATGATTCTGAATATCAGTTCTTGAATATGTAGGTTACTACCACTTTTTGGCTTGTTTTCTTTTTCTTTTTTTTTTTTTTCCTTTGAGACTGTATCTTGCCGTGTAGTCTAAGCTGGCTTTGAACTTGCTTTTATGTAGTCTAGGCTGACCTCAACTCACAGTAGTCCTGCCTCCGCCACCTGAGTGCTTGAATTAGAGGTGTGATCACACATCTGGCTTGGCTATTATGAATAATGCTGCTGTAAACATTTTATTATACAAATTTTTATGTGGGCATTTGTTTTTAGTTATGGTGACTTGTACATACTTTGAGGAACTGCTAAACTGTTCTAAACTGGTTTTAGTGTTTTGCATTCCTATCATTGTTTGAGGGTTCTAATTTTTCACATCCTTTCTCAACACATTTGGTATCTGTCTTGTCTGTGTGTGATTCCTATCCTAGTGATACAAATTGGTATCTCACTTTGGTTTTGATTTCTGATTTTCTAATGACTCATAATGTTGAACATCTTTTCACATGCTTGTTGGCATTTGTATGTCTTCT